ACAAATCTAATGACCGAACGAACAAATTGTTTCCTGCAAAAGCCCCCTCCCCTTTCGCTCCTCTTTTATTTCCTATGGGAGGGGGCAATCACCTTTACTCCCAAGTCTACCCTGATTTCTGAGTTGTTATTTTTTCCTGGCAGCTCTGCACATGCACACACTGGGAACAGGCTCCAGCTGTTCCTTTGCCTCACTGCTGTCTAGCTCTGTAGGCACCTGATCACTGCCAGACGGCCTCGGCCTCCTCTCTACCTCCAATGCAGAGCCCTCCTCCGAGCCTTCCCCAGCCCCCAGGACTAGCTGATGCTCCTCCCCAACCTCCTCACTCTCTGACTGTGTTGCAGCTCTGCTGGCTGCTGGCGCACCACAACAACCCCGAGGGCACAGATTAACTCCCAAGTGCCCTCAAGAGCTCTCAGGGAGAGCGCTAATGACCAGATGACTGGAAAAAATACAAACCTCCCATTCCCCCCAAACTCCTGTCAAAACTAATCCTTTCATAGCCGGCACCATCTTGCCAGAACCGATGGAACTTCTTGGGATGAGAAGCAAAACATTTCTCTGTTTCCTCAGGGGAAAAAAACCCCAGTCCAGTCATCTTTTGAAAAAGCACCTTTTGAGTCGAAGTCTCTTTCTAGAGAAGAATTCCAGCTGGGACAATTTCAGACTTCTAAAAATTTCTCAGCATCCTGTGAGGTGAAGTTTTGTTCGTAAAGCCCGTGGTGAGCCAAAACTGACCTCTAATTTTTCTGTAACGTGGTGGCAGATGATTAGATGTTTAAAATACATAGGGGAGTAACTGGATTGGATTTAAACATCCAATTTTTGCTGCTTTTTGTCCCGGGCTCACTGTATGGGGGATTGTAGGTCTCAAAAATGTTACACCCCACTTCGCTGCGCTGCTTGTGCGTTTCACAGCCTCTTATGACGTAGCACAACGTGTTAGGAATTTAAAGACCCGTTTTTTTAAAGCGATGCCTTGGGAGCTGCAAAATGACTAGTTCGAAGCCTCTAGGCTCACAAGTAGTAAGGCTGGAATGAAAAATGGGAATGGTATCGTATTTCAGGATAGGATTTTTTTAGCCCAATATTTTCTATTCATATTGATAGATATTTAAAGATTTAGAAGGTTTCCGACATCCCAACCTGATATGTAAACAGCACTTGCCAGCTGTTCCATTTTTAGTAAAAAAAAGAAGGCAAAGAGATGGTTTAAGTGAAAATCAAGAAATCAAATAGCTCAGTTGCCAACAGTCTGTGTAACCCCATTCCTTTGGTTCAATAAATCTTGCTTAAAAAAACCTTCCAAGATTCTTGCTTGGAAGCAATCACTTTTGGTTGGAAGCAGCTGCTTAAAAGCCTGATATTAAGTACCTCTTGCAATCATATCCCTCCCTTGGAGATGCCAAGGATTCTTGTAAATGCAGCAACTGCCCTACTATAGACTTACAACATCTTGCCGCGTTAGCAGAGAATCTGCCTCTTCTGAACAGATGGCTGGATGTATCGCTGTGTTTATTTGAACGCCAAATTTCCTGGCTGTTTTTTTTTTTAGTCCGGAAGTTTGACGTCTTAATGCCATATCCAGACCTACCTTTGCCAACTGGGGAGAGTGCATGGTTTTCGGTTCTGAAGAATCCCTTGCCCTGGTTCATAGGCTGGCCAGGTGGACAAGTGGCTGTTCCTTGAATGCACCTAAGGAGGATGAAAATAGGCCAGTCACTTTTCTTTCCATAAAACAGGTCATTTCCTCAGGTTTTTTTTTTTATCTATAGATGCAACTTTAGGAACAATCACTAGTTGTTCTGACCTAGGCTTCCAGAGAAAGCATAAATCATAATCTTAGTCCCCAAAGCCCTCTTTTATTTATATGGCTGGGAATTATGGTCATTTCCAGTCTGCAAGGCTTCACAAACTCTCTGTGAAGGTTCCAACAGATGTCTGCTCAAGTTGCCACAGTCTCTCAAGGGAATGTTGATAAACAC